TCATTTTTTTTGTAAGAAATACAAACGTAAAAAATAATCATATAGTAGTTTAATGTTTTGATTTGATTCGGATGTGTGTATGTGTGAGGTAACACAATAACGCAGAACATAATTATGGAAATTAAATGTCAATAACTTGTGGCCGCATCGGATGATATCATTATTTCTATAAATAAACCCAAATTGGGCAACTAAATATAAAGTAATTTAAAATTTTCTCAATAAATGCTCTTTTTCAATATGGTTTACTTGAAATTAGTGATTAATCCGTGAAATTAGATAAAAGATCGAGTGATCGGAAATTCTCACATTATTTAATGACACGCGAGTTTTAATGAGTTTCTTTCTCGCGATCGCAGATTATTCTCTCATTACTTATTCGTGAGAGATTAATAGTATACTTCCCTTATAGAAATATCATACTAAGAATCATTGATAATTACTTATTATCCAATATTTTTAATACTGAAAATAAGTAATTGTCAATGATTCTTAGTATGATATTTCTATAAGGGTTCACTTAAAGTGAATGCGTTTCCCTTCGAACAAAAATTACATGCCTGACAGAGGTTGTTTTGAATAGTCTGGGGCATGTTTCCAAATCATCTCTAAACGCTTTCAAGACTGCCTTTACGTCGCTTACTGTCGCTTGCATTTACGTCGTTCGCGATAAATGGTATCGCGTAATCGATCGCGTTTATTATCTATCTACGCGCAAAACCGGATTAGAACAAAACGTTTTGCTCAAACGTCGGCTTTGTTGTTACATAATCGCGAGCACGTGCGCAATTCATAGGTATATAAAAAGAAAGGACATTCTTGCTTGGAAAATATTTTTATCTTGTGGTATTAAATGAAGATAAATTATTTGCAAGAATATATTTCATATGATTTCTTTGACGAAGAGAGATTTGTATTCTTATTATTCAAAAATAATGCTCATTAATAGAAAGCAGCAGATATTGAGCATGCGATGTTTCTAAATATGTGTTATGCTTCAGATTCCCTTTTATCCACTTAAAACTAATGCATTCAAATTAACAATTATTGTTTCATATATATAAAACAGAATCTCTTCCTTTTTCTTCTTATTCTTTACTAACGTCACCCTTCTTACTTGTATAGCATCAGTCTCATATCAATCCTTGTGTCATTCTCTTCCTGTATATCTTTACTTTACTTCCCTATCCCAAACCAATCTTTTCTTTCCATTTTTTGTATCTCCTTCTTCCCCCATCCCTTGTGTACTTTCGTTTTCTAGTACCACTTATTACACATTTTCTCTGTCGATAATTTTTTCTGCATTACTATACTATAATTTAAACTTATCTGCATCATTCACTCTATTTTAACTACTCGTTTCTTATAATGCCGAACTCTATTCCTACCTATTCGAACCTATGTACTTTTTCCACCTTGAATCCTACTTTCCTACTTAACGCCTTGTTTCGCCTTCACTTACACACTATCTACGCACTCATTCCTACATAATTTCCCCTATTTGGCGCCCTATATTTAATCTAACATACTAAAATCATCCCAAACTCACGCGCCACGTTAATCAAGCATCCAAACTCTTGCACGCCACCAACCATGTCCATACATAAAACAATCGTTGTTTGATATAAAAATAACTATATATAATTTTGTTAGAAGAATTTGAAAGTTTTGAAATTCAATATAACTTCACTTGAAGATTAACTCATCAAAGATAAACAGATAAGTTAACTTATCAGATAGGTTGGATAAGTTAACTTTTTTTTTTAACTAAGTTAAAGTTAATGGCTTTGAAAATTTAACTTAGTTAAGATAAAGTTAATCCTTAATGACATTAATTGAATTAAAAGTTAAGTTAATAAAAAAAAGTAATTAAAAAGTTAAAAGTTAAATTTGTTTCATTTTATGACTTCAGGGTTTCAGTTTTACAAATAACGGAAAAAACAAATATACACCTTATTTGGAAACATGTTTTATTTACAGATACTTATTAAATTTAAGTAATAAAATTTTTTCGAAGTTTTTATCGGATATTTTTCCTCGAAGATTGTCGAAAATGAACCCTCTTGCACTGAACAGTCTTTCAACACCTTTATGACATATTCAAGATAATAACTTCAAGATAATTGAAATAAAAGTTAATAGTTACCGATAAAATATAATTAAGTTAAGTTAAAAGTTATGAGTGTAAGAATGTAACTAAGTTAAGTTAAAGCTATTTAACTTTTTAATTTAACTTTTAACTTTTTAACTAATTACTACCCAACCCTGAAGATGAAGATAATTTCCAAACAAGAATGTTCTTTTTTCTGCGATATATGGATTTCTTTAGCATTCTGGAAAGGTTCTCCTTAAGCGCAATCAAAATACAGCAAATAAAATTAAAGAAAAAAAGTTAATACAACGTATTGGAGAAAATTGTAGAAGAAAGTAGGTATACTTATTGAATCAGTTAGAGTAACTATCCTGTAAGGAGAAGATAGTAAAGCACATTTCTTTTAGAAAGGAATTAGGAGAATCAGGAGTCGCGTGAATTTTCGCGTGTCGATGCGAAACGCGCCGCGCATAAAAATAGCGATTACCACTCTGTTCGGCACATTACTCCACATCTTACAAACAGTCATCTCGACTAGAGAAAACATCCACTCGATTTGTGGACTTAACTTTAAGTCGAGTGTTTTTTTGCACGAGGCTATTGTTCGTTATTACTGCCGTATATTTTCCACATGCGAAAAAAAAAAATCTTCCGTCTGTAAAAATATAATTTATCTTTTATCTAATCAGAGAGTGGTTATTCAATGATTACTCCCTACCAAAAGAACCCTATCCTTCCCGCGGCTCAGCGAAACTCACAGAAACAGGTGGGATTCTGTGGCTACGGATCGATCGACTATATCTTCGTGTAGAAAAAAAGAAAAAAAAAACGACAATAATCCGCTGGGAGTCAACGTTAGCAGTGCCAAGATAATCGAACAAATTCTTAAATGTAATAGAAAATACGCGTTACTCTCTCATTTATTCTTGATAAATCTACCGCGAATTTTATATAAATATAGCAATTTTGAATATACACACAGAAAAATATCATTTTGCTGCTAAGAAAAGTGATTACTCAGTTTATTTTCCTTCTCTTAAGTAAGTTATTTCTAACAAAAAATATTTTTTGGATAATATAATTTTAAAATATACTCTCAAGTTTGAGGAAAAACTCATATTCTCAAGCTTTAAAAAAGTTTATTATCATATTCTCAAAACAAGAAGAAATTATTATCTTTACTAGAATATTATAAAAGCTCATTGAGGAAAACATTGACTTTATGTAGTGAGTAAATCGATTTTTTGTTTTAATTTCATATTTTTGAGTGAAATGCTAAACTTACCGGGATTTAGAATGTATTTTGAACAAATTTGATGCTTATGATAAAATGATAGGTTTGCGAATATATATAGACTTATGAAATAATCAAAACAAGTAAATTTACTGTAGTGTACTTTGAATGTACATATAATAATTTGATAATTAAAACGGAACAGAAAATAAAAATGGAATATTGCGATAAGCTCTACTCGACTTTAACCGTGGTTTTTCATCGATCCTGCCAGTTCAATCAGTCGTATTAGTTAATAGATTTGTATTTTTTAACCTATTGAAAGTTTATTTAATAAAAATAATCGGCAAAGCAGTAATAATAAAAATTTAGTCAATTTCCATGCATATATATAATCATAAATAATTGAGTCGATCAATTGGATTCATTATTGATTAGGATATAATCACTAAAAGTAAAGTTTGATTCGATAATTGATTTCACTAATCGATCGAATTTTTTATAATAACATATGTGACGAGTGGTTAGCTTTATTCAGGGTTGGAAAAGTTACTTTTTAAAAGTAACTAGTTATAGTTACAAGTTACTGGCTGTGAAAAGTAACTCGTTACAGTTACAGTTATTCAAAATGTAACGAGTCGTTACTTTTAAGTTACTTTATTGAAATGATTGTAAATTATTATCGTAAATATAAAAATCTCACATTTTAAGCTTTAAACTAAACTCTGGAGAAAATTCTCTTTACATCTGAAAATGAACTCAGAATTGGTGACATACGACTGGATTCTTTTTTAATTCTCTGTGCTATTTGGGTTATTAAATTAATACGATTACTACATAATTTTAATTTTATTTTATGTTCCCCAAGTAACTATTAAAGTAATTGTTAAAAAAGTTACAAGTTACTAAAAATAAGTAACTAAGTTATGTTACAGTTACAGGTGAGGAAAAAGTAACTAAGTTCCCAGTAAGCAAGAAATCATTAATATAACGTTACTACAATGATATTCAAGAACCTGTAATATTCTCAAAAATGTAGTATTTAATATTGTATCGAACATTATTATGAACATACTTTGACCGCGATTTGAAAGTTTCAATACTGTTGAAATAGGGTTGCCATAACGTTTTAATCGTCAGAAATATTTTTAAGATGTTGCGTTGATCTCAAATAAATATTAATATAACATTTGGAAAATATATTTTTTGTAATGTTTTTAAAACGTTTAAACAATATTCAGAAAAATCATATCGCAAAATATCATGTGAAAAATATAAAATGCCATATTATTAAAAAATGTCCAAACAATGCACATGAAGTCAACGTTTCTAAACGTTAATTTAATGTTCCTTGTTTACTGAGTTAAGTTACAGTTACCGAAAAAATGTAACTGTAACTTCGTTACAACTAACGAGTTACTTCACAACCCTGGCTTTATTTATTGCTTATCAATTATTTTAGTCAGCAGAGTTTCGATCGATCAATGTCCAACACTGAGCGGCCATCACTGTATCATTTGCACGGACCGTATTTGAACGATATTGACATTCAGATGGGAGCTCGTCACCGCGGGTCATCGCGATACGTCAATTTCGCGGCTATATAACAGCAACACGCGCACGTAAACACGCGTGCAAACACATGAACTGACACGCGGGACATACGTGCACAGTGTGCAACGAGACACGGCCGCCGGTTGGGCGATCATTGCGAGGTGAAGGCGCAACCGGAGCAACGCAGTTCCATTCAGTATACCGACGACCGTAGTGCCGGTAAGAGGCATCTCGCTCCTCAAGTGTGTCTCGACACATGCGCGTTCTTCATCTGACCGCGATCAGAATTCCGCGGCGTTTCTCCTCGGCATCGCGTTCGGCGCGACGCGTATGTGCGTTCGCTCCGTTTGGACAAGTAGATTAGCAGCAGGTAAGAAGATATCTGGCGTCGCGCTGTTGTCAGCCGGACTTGGTTGCGATAAACGCGTCTATCGGCCTTTCGTTCGCGATTGATCACGTGAATACGGTAATCCGAACGGAGCTCGCGAAAACATTTCGACAGAGCGAGTCGAGAGTCTCGACGGCGGAAATTTCGAAAATTGCGCTCGGCACCGTGTTGCACGTGTGTATCGATAGTTGAAAGTTGTCTCATGCAAAATATTCGGATTCTTATTTAGAGTCAGGTTCAAGTCCTTCAGTTGAACTATATGTTAAGCCCGATGTCCACGGAGCGTGATTTGAAGTTGTTTCTCTTGCGAGGAGCTACGCATGCCGCTAAGTTGGTTCTACAGTGAGAAATTTGGCTCTTGAAATTTGTGTTCCGTTGCGAGTTTGATGGTTAACGTTTCCAAACAGATTCGGTGTTATTTTCCAAGCGCGTTGCTTGGAAAGGACTCCAATACGAATTGCCAAATATGGTGTAATTGTATGACTGACGTCAGCTGACGTCGATTCGATCTATCAATCTATTCGATGTGGCTAGACGAACCGTATTGGGATCCTAGCAACATGCTTGGAAAATAACCAAATCTGGAAAAGCTAATCGCGAAAGTTACTTCATGTGAGATAACTCTGTTTAGAGCCGGATTAAATTTCTTCGAAATACGCTCTGAATCCTAGTAGATTCGGCATTTCAGTCAAGAATATTAGATTAAAACAAAAATTTGGTCTGCTCACTATAGAGGCTCAAACCAACTTTTCTTCGTTGAAGTTTTGCGATACTCTTGTGAAGAGAATAAATTTTTCTTTTGAGTACAACAATCTTTCTTAAAATTTGTGATGAGTAGAATTTGAGACAATTTTATCAAGAAAATATTCCTTGCTGAAAATAATCGTTACTTCAAAGAAGGCAAGTAAACTGAATGATGGCTTTTCTCATCTCAATAGAATAATATTTTTGTGTAACATTCGTATTAACAGTCACACTTGAAACTTGCCTTATAATTCTAAGATACTCAGAAATCGTAATTCCTATAATTGTGACTTAACTAAAAAATTTACATCTGATTCTAAGACTCATGGTAATGATTGACTTGAAGCATGTCTTATGTGAGATACTCCGATCTACACTTAGAGTTAAATTGAGTTTTTTTATTTGAATTTCATCATGTACATATGACGTTATCTATGTCAGTGTTTATCTAATCGCGTTCAGCTGAAAAAGCTCGTATCTAATTCAAATTCTGAGTATCGCATTTGAAACAAGTTTCCAGTAACGACCATTAATACGTACCTAAGTTTCGATGCGAGTATTTCACGTGAGGCGAGTTTTAAACAACTATTAATGCAAGTCTCTATGCGTACCGCTCGTGTGCTTGGCTGGAGGCGCACGCATTTGCGATTTTAGAGGAACGTAACGGAAAATGCAATAACGTATCGAGAAGGAAAGAGGGTTCACGCGGCAGTGAAAGTCAATCAATTCCCTGGCGAGACCGTTTTACCGCTACTGCGAGCGCGCGAAGCGGCGGAGAGTAGAGGGAAGGAAAAAAATTCGCGGTTTTCTACTCGTCCGCGATTGCAACACGCAATCGCACGCGCGGAATATGAGATTGCCTGGCCTTGCCTCGGCATGTGTGGTGCGGCAATTAATATCACGACGACGAGTACCCAATTTTCCGGTAGAAACCGACACCGCTGTCGTTTTCCATTCTCTACGCAAAACTGCGAGCCGCCAGCGATTTCTCGATCGATCATCTCCCCCCCCCCCCCCCCCC